TACTTATTGCGTTACTTTTTTACAGTAGATAAATGAAACGAAAGTTAAATGTTTTATGTATAGATATACCTACTAGCGACTCACCCTCGCTCCGCTCGGGTTCGTCTCTACTTATGTTTTAAGGTTTAGTATAGATTTCTCAGAGATGAGATATTTTTCCGCAATAAAAAGTATGCTATATGTTGACCCGGATAACCAGCTACCATCATACCAAATTTCATCAAAATTTGGTATGATGGTAGCTGGTTGTATTTGATATTTGTTTCATTTCCCTCCATCCCTTCAGTGATGCGGTAACAGACAGACAGGCAGACAGCCAAAAATTCTAATAACTATAGATTTGACCTCTGTATCGATAGTAATGTCTATTTCAATTAGATTTTCCAAAAAATATTTAATGTACAGATTCGATTTAGTTACAATTTTATTGTATGTATAGAAGATATAATAAATAGAAAAGTAACTTAGCGAAATCGTGCGAGTTTCACGCAAAAAGTACTGAAACGATTTTAACTAAATCTTATGTAGTGATAACTTATTACTCGGGTCCACACATTAGGATACCTTTTACTATACGAAAATTTTTCATTCCCACCGGAGAACACAGAACTGGTTCTGTCGAGTCGTCCTTAGAAATTTTCATGTCTAACGCTCGCTAAAACTTAAGAGAACACAAGAACTGGTTCGGTCGAGTCGCCCTTAGAAATTTTCATCTCTAACGCTGGCTAAACCTTAAGAGATACTCGTACATCAAAACAATGTAATAGAAAATTGTTGGTCTTAATAAGGTCTAACGAAATATCTGCAATAGCATAATTTATATCCTAAGGTACACTAGCAATAACTATTCATTTCTATAATGTATCCAGGAACGCACTCGAGCGAAGCGAGGGCAAGTCACTATATTTTATATAGAAACTGAGTAATTATCGAAAGAAAAAATGTGAGTTCCTATAGTGGAAGTAGCATCATTTTCGTGGGATAACCCTTAAAAAATATTAGGTGAAGATTTCAAAAGGTAAACTGTAGGTATAAGAAATATAAAAAAAATCCAATATAAACCTAATTGCACTCGAATAAATAAACTATATTATGTTATTTTTTTATTTTTATACCTAATATTTCAGCATTGCTGGAATCGTTTTGGTGTTAATAGTCTATGAGAAGAGATATAGATTACTCACTTTCTTTTACGTTGCTTAGACTCAACTGTCTGTTATTACATCATGATTCTGGTTGATGGTTGTTACATTGATGATATAATTAAATGATTTGTTTTAAGATTTTTCTTTCAAAATTCAGAGTTTTGAGCTTAATGTTAAATCTAATTTTATATTTTCGCTCATTGAAACTTGAGGTGAATATTAATCTATCACTAGCAAGTAGCAACTCACCCCCGTCCTAGATACGTTTTAATGTTTAGTATGGAATAGATAGACTATATATGTATGTACACATAGGTAAAGAAAAGTAGGCAAGTACATTCAAAAAACTTAAAATCATTCCCTTTTCTAGCTTGATTGGTTATAAACGCCGAAATATTCTTTATTTCTTACCAAAAGCATAATTATGATGAGTTTTATATCCCTTACTTAAGAAATGATTGATTCCCCATACAAACTTCTATCCCCCTTTTCATACCTTTAAGGGGCGATTTTCGGGATAAAAATTCCATGCCCTTTCCAGGGTCTCAAACTATCTCCATATCAAATTTTACCTAAATCGGTTCAGCGGATTAAGCGTGGTAAAGGTAACAGATAGACAGACAGAGTTACTTTCGCATTTATAATATTAGTATAGATAGTACCTATGGATTGGATTATAATAAAGAATTTAAAAGAGCAATTACTTATTTATAGCTGTCTAAAATCTTTATACGATATCACACTGTTGAATAATAAAAAAAAAACAAAATGGTTGTATCTTACCAAATCTGTTTACAAAATGAAATTAAATATTTTTTTATGAAGTTGTTTTCATTACTGAAACGATGTCTCGTGTAGTAAATTGAATTGTCTTTTTTACCTTGTGAATTTAGAAATCTATATTTTGTGCTATTAGTAATTATGATGAGTGCTTAGTTTTTCTAGTGGTTGGGTAAAGTACTAACGTCAGTAAAATTTACTATTTTCGATTTAACAGTTATCAAAATATTTAATTGATAACATATTTTAAGGATCCATCTCAACCTTATTATTCTTTTGATGACGAATAATTTAATAATGTAATGCAGTTTTAATTTTAATTTTCGTGACTATTATATTATACGAACGTAACGTAAATACAATTTGGGAGTTAAAAAATAAGACTATTTCAGGACTGTCAGAAATGAAAACAAAGCGACTTCTCGACTGTAGTTCATTTTGGAGGATGAATGCTTTGTCAGTGAAAAAAGAAAGAACTTAGGGCTAATTGAATTAAAAGGTTTGAAGGTTTATTACTGTTTACTTTGCTTATGACATTAAATAATGTGATATAATTACATAAAAAAACGACTACAATTTCTTCTCAGAAACTTTTCTTTTTGGAATAAAAAGTTATCAAAGTTTATAACCTATTTAGGATACTTCAAAGATAATTCAGATAGTCTAAAAGGTTTTTTAGTAATTGCTCAATTATGTTAGTGGGTCATAACTAAAAGAAAAACAACTGTTTTAAAACTTATATAATATATGTTATACCTTATTTAATACATCATACTTTATCCATAAAACCATTTTTGTGATAAAACTTATAGTACTGGCCACATCCTAATCTAATACATCCTTTATTCTAAAAAAGCTTTTCTAATTTTTAAATTAAAACATTTTAACAAGGACTTGTTAAAATGTTTTAAATTTAAGTTAATTGAAGTCACCAATATTATCGTACTGAATATTTTTTTACTTATTGTATCTGTTATGTCAAAAGTGGCTGTGGTAATAATAGTATTATACTACTAAGGGAACAGATTTATTAAAATTTACAGAGAGTGGCTAGCATGACGATTTATTTTATGATAGGTATCAGTGACTCGATTTTGTCCTCAGTAGTACCACATATCCTGCTATTCTATTTTCTGGAAACGGATATGGTTCCGAAGGGCCAAATAACACTGGACTGGAGCTTGGCGTGTTACGTATTATATTAATAATAATTGTATATAGGTGTATATTATAATATAGAGTAAAATGTATTTATTATGCAAATCTAAAGCAAAACCCACTATAATTTCATTAAGTTAGGAGCTTAACTGGGTTTAAAGCTACAGTCTGAGTCACCTGTACGATGTAGTCTCCTCTAAACGAACATCGCCTACTGGTTGTATAAAAGGTCAACTAAGTACACACAGTAATGTGCACAGTGTGGAATTTAATTTAAATAATATCTTTGAGATTTTACAAATATTGATTGACTTCAATAAGATTTTTTTAGTTGTAATTACTTTTCTCATGTAATAATATTTTTAAAAATTTTATAGCCACGCACAATCGCTTCGTTAGGGTTAGTCCCTAGTGAAAATAAAAAAAGAAATCTATCCCACGGGAACCGTACACTTTTCCGGGATAAAAGTATTCCAGACTATAATCTATCACTGTGCCAAATTTAATCCACATCCATTCAGCCGTTCTAGCATGATTAAATAACAAACATCGATCCATCCAAACTTTCGCATTTATATATTCGTAGTAGTAAGATTTAATATTCAATAGAATCTCCATTTATTTTTAAATAATATTATTATTTTCATTATTCCGCCTCCATAATCCATGATGAGAACAAAACTTTTATTTAGATAATATTGTTACAGATTTTCTTGGTTTTACCCTTTACAACGGTATTCTGGTATTGGTCTATTTTAATCATCAGTCAATCTATACATACCAATAATAAAATTGTAACTAAGCCGAATGTGTACATTAAATATTTTTTGGAAAATCTTATTGAAAAACATTATAATCTATACAGAGGCCGAATCTATAGGTTTTAGAATTTTTGTCTGTCTGTATTTCTGTCTGTCTGTCTGTCTGTTACCGCATCACAGAAAAACCACTGGAGGGATTTTGATGAAATTTGGTATGGTGATAGCTAGTTATCTGTGTCAACATACAGGATACTTTTTACCGCGGGAAAATGTTTGAAATGCGGGAAAATTTCTGAGAAAAAATACAAAAACTGCAATGTTAGAGTATACTAATATGTAAAACCTAAGAATTTGGTTTATGGTCATCTAAACGCGGGCGGAGCCGCGGATGATGCTATATAAAAATATATAAAAAAGTCATGGCAAAATAAATAATTTACGTAACAACACTTTTAATAAATGATGACAATAATGTCACAAGTAACTGTTATTGAAACAATTTACTCAAGATACAGACTGTATTATTACCATATTGCGAAGTATTTTGCAAGCACGATCTAATAATGTCATCAATATTAGGTATACCTTACAAAAATTATCTTATGTTCGATATAACCTCTGACTTTCTGTTATTCTTATACAAAAGAGTATTTGGATTATTAAAATACTAGTGATTTACTCTTGCTTTATTGAATGGTAACCCAGTGGTAACTCGCTCTCTTGGAAAATCGAGCGAAACGGGTTCAAATCCCGGGTCTCGCACCTCTGATATTTTCATATGCGAATCATTTCATGATCACCACTGGTCTTACGGTGAAGGAAAACATCGTGAGGAAATCTGTATGCATGTCTGAGAGAATCTAGCAAGTTTTCGAAAGACATGTGAAGTCCGCCAACCCGCATTTGGCGAGCGTGGTGGACTATGGCGTAATCCGCATAGTATTGAAGGGAAGCCTGTGACCAGCAGTAGGACGTTTAAAAAGAGTATGTACTCTTGCTTCGCTCGGATTTGTCAATGTGTTATTCCAGGTCATATCTGTGTACATCAAAACTCTTCCAGCGTAAAATAAATATTTAATTGCAGTAATATTTTGCTTTGTATGTATATAAAAATTATATTTGAAATTTGAATGTTCAAGTAGTTATTCCGTTTCAGATTTACCAAAATCCGATCCAGAGTTGAATGGACTCAAGGGAAGGTATAAAGCGGGCATGAAGTTGAAGGCGGAATGTATTAGCCATGAATCCATGCCACCTGCGAACCTATCATTTTTCATCAACAACGAACCGGTATGTGTTATTTCTATCTTTTTCAGATACACTCGTGTGGTAAGTCTTTTTCAACAGCTGCAAATAAAGATTTGACAAATCTAAACTTAAGTATTTATGAGTCCTTTAAAAAGCTCGATATTAAGCTCATATATAATTATGATTATTTGTACGTTATGAAAACTCAAATCAACGTAAACAAATTATTTTTGTCTACCTTTTTGAATTTATTTATTTATTGATGAGGCTTTTAGTAGTAGATAAAAGTTAGGGGATATAGTCTACCTTTATTCCAGAAAGGCTAAGAAAAGGTTAGGGTAAAGAATTAAAGTGTTAAAAAATCTCATTAAAATATTTTGCGAATAAAGTTAAAGACAGGCTAATTTTTATATAAATTACTAGCACAACCCGCGGCTTCGCTCGCGCTAAAACAACAGAATAACTATAAAAGTAGGTTTCATACAAACTTTCAAACCCTATTTTACCCTCTTATGGGATGAATTTCGAAAAATGCTAAAACCCGTATTTATTTAATTGTATTGAAGAGCATTAATATCAAGTTTCAAGTAATTCTGATCATAAATAATTTTTGGGTTGTATTATAACGAGTATATTTGCACTTAAATATATAACTATAATTCAAGTAAAAGTGAATGGTTCGTGATAGTATTTATAGATTGTGTAATTTTCTTTTCTTTCCTGTAAAACTTCTAGGTTTAGATTGACGGGTGTTTAGTGGGGTCTTATTTAGGTCATAATTCTTTGCTGCACGCCGATAATATATGTATCAACCATTTTATTTTTAACCACATAAAATGTCTACCTGTATTTAAAATTAAGCGATATATTTAAAAGGTACAATAAAATTTTAGAGAGGAAAAGATTTATGAAAAGTTTTTAGGATATCACGTTTTTAAATTTAAATAATATTTTTAAAAAACTTTTTCATTTTATTAATAGTCGTGTAGTGTATATAAAACTTTGCGTTAGCCAACTGCTCTCTGGAGTTTTTAATGGTCTTTTTTAATTACTTGCTAAGAAGATAAAGTCTGCGGTTTATGCTTCCATCAAAAACTTGTTTGTACAATATTACACTTTTTCCTATTCTGAAAATTCATAATATCAAATAAGAAAGGAATAAGAATAAAGTTTTCGCGCTATAATACAAAGGTGAAAATTTAAATCGTTACTATATTAAAGTTTTAACATTTCACAAAAAGTAATTTAAGCTACTAATGAATAAGAGTTATTCTAATAATTATAGTTATAATATACTGGCAGCTCCCGCGTCTATGCTCGCGCTAAAACTACAAAAAAGCTCTAAAATGGTACATTTCATACAAACTTTCATCCGCTATTTTACCCCCTCATGGGATTAATTTCGGAAAAAGCTAAAATACTTAACACCTCCATGTAAATTTCTAAGAAATGAATTAAAATTCTAACAAATCTCTTGTCGCTAGCGTGTCTGCGGTCGTGGAGGGATTAATTAATTGTATCGAAGAGCATTTATACCAAGTTTTAAGTAATTCTGATCATAAATTTTTTTTAATTGTATTATAACGTATTTTTCCGTGGGAAAGAGATAATCACCCGCGGTAAAAAGTAGCCTATGTCACTCTCCAGCCCTCCAACTATCTCCACACAAAAAATCGCCCAGCCGTTTCGACGTCAAAGAAAGAGAAACAAACAAACAAACTTTCACATTTATAATATTAGTATGGATTATAATATTTATTCAATAAAAGCTTTTTCTGATGCATCGACCTTAACTGTCACAAGCTATGTAAGCTATATTTATTTTATTATTTTATTTAAAATTATGAGCCTACTTTTGAAATAATATTATTTTGTTAAAAAGTTCTCGTTCTAGAGTTTAAAAATTAAAAGTTTATTTCTCTTAAGTCGTAATACGTATATATTGAATTTTACGCATCATAATAATTTTTGATCGACAATTATTAACAATTTAAAAGAAGTATTGATGCTATGATATGAGCTTATCAATAACATAGTCATAGTATGTTAGATCTCAGTGATACAATATTAATATTATAAAAATAATACTTTCTTAGATTTACACGAATATTTGACATTTTAATTAAAACTACCTTTTCGGATTTTACGTGGATTTATTTTAATTTCCGGTTTCCAGGGAATCAAAAATCCGCGAAAAAATCTGAAAAGATACTTTTATTTAAAATTATTAAAAAACATATAAAAAATCTTTAGAAATATTTTTGTATTTTCTAATGTTTAGTGTATTTTAGTCTGTACTACTAATATATTCTCTATTGAGTAGACAGAAAAATTTTCAATTTTCCATGATAATGGATTGATAGTGAAACCAAAAGACACTTTGTCTCAACTAGGCCGACACAAATATTTACACAGACTGTTCAAACCTATGGTTTGTACAAGAAACAACCGTGTAACCTTCACTAAGTTGTTAATTATTATATTATACTATTCAAATATAACAGCTTTTGAATTTCATTAATTGAGTACACTTGACGAAAATCGTCTACACTGTGTGTGGCTTTTTCTATCAATTTGCTAAAAAAATAAGTTTTAAAATAAACGTAAATTAAGTAAGAAACATAGTAGAAGCGACACTCGAACTTAAAGTGTACCACTTTTTAGTCTGCATCTGATTATGAGCGGAGATAAGGTAGGTAGCCTTTGTCTGTCTCCATGATGAAACTTGTAACCTTGCCAAATTTCATCAAAATCTGTTCAGCGGATTAAACGTGAAATTGTAACAAACGGATGGACAGAGCTACTTCCACATTTTTAATCATAGTATGGATATACTGTATACATCATAATTCTATTAAAATAGATTAATTTTAATTAAGAATTGTAGTTGCTACATTTGTACATATGTGTACATATAAAAGTAATTATAATGTATATGTAACAAATAAAATTTACATCTTTGCGCAAATCTTAGATACATACTAGCGGCTCACCCTCGCTTCGCTCGGGTTCGTCGCTAGGTACGTTTTAAATAGATATAAACATGAATCAGTATTCACGCGCGATGGCTTATTATTAGCGTATTTCATGTATAACTTTGGTGTTTCTATACCGATTTCTATGATTCTTTTTTATGGAATAGTTAATAATGTTAACTTTTTTAATTAGTGATGACTATGAGAGTGTTATAAACGTAAGAGTAGACAAATATAAATCAGAAAGCTTCGAACTGCTAATCTATCGGGAGTTACACGTGTTATTGTGAGTCAACCATAAAAGATAGACATATGCTGTCGTGGGATATTTTTTATATAATTTTAAAGAGAACATTTCCGTCATACATGATTTCTGTGTAACTTTAACCATTAAGGTTGCACACGCGACGGAAGCTTAAAAAATGGAGTAACTTCTCCCGTTTTCCCAACATTTCCCTTCACTGCTCTGCTCCTATTGATTGTAGCGTGATGAAAAGTATACTATAACCAGCTCAGGAGTATGAAAAATAATTATACCAAGTTTCGTTAAAATCCGTCGAGTAGTTTTTGTTTCTATAACGGTTATACAGACAGACAGACAGACAGACAGACAGACAGACAGACAGACAGACAGACAGACAGACAGACAGACAGACAGACAGACAGACAGACAAAAATTTTACTGATTGCATTTTTGGCATCAGTATCGATCCCTAATCACCTCCTGATAGTTATTTTGGAAATATATTTCATGTACAGAATTGACCTCTCTACAGATTTATTATAAGTATAGAAGATTACGTGCGCGATATGAAAAGCCCCCATTTAACTTTAAATAGATTTACCTATATCCATCGGTCTTATCTTTAAAATGAAAGAACAATGAACATATTTCCAACTTTACAATCGGATAAAAAATTTGAGCAAGAGAGACAGACTATTTTCTGCCGTTAAAAGCTAGTTAAATATTTTTTTCTTTATGCACTTTTCAACATTTAAGAACAAAAAATATTTGAACTCATGCTATTGTGTGTAATGTTATTATATTTTATTATAGGCTCTCTCTCAACATGTGTGGCACAGAGTGGGAGGAGGCGTGAACGGGAGCCTATGGACTGCTTACAGCACTATACAGTTCGTAGTGCAAAAACATCACTTTATTAGAGGAAAAATAAAGGTGAGTTAATGCTTTTATGATGTTTGCACTTAGAGCTAATGCTTTTATGTACCATTGAGAACATTCAGTATAGTTTTCTTTTCTTTATATTTTCTCATTTAACAATTGTATAAAATGGATGCCTTTGTTTCATTTGCTATTCGCTTTTTTGCTTTATTTGAAATTCATTATCTTGTATATTTTTATGGTATACTCTTTGCATGTAACATAATATCCTTAAATAAACTAAAAATATCTCTATAATATTTTCGCTTCCGGAGTAAATAAGAAAAATATTATTATAGACGGGGAAGTTTAAATTTTTTAAATATATGTGTGTAATTATATTATTATTTAGTGATTAGTAATTTTATCTGTTTATCTTTGAGTAGGTACAGATAAATGTCTGAACTAATTAGTATTAAGTTTTGGGTAGGTACCTACCTCAAATTTAGAGTGATGATTCGGGCTTTAATGTTACTAATTGGACACGCACTCGTGGTTCTTGCAATATGCAGTCGTGAACACGTTTCAAATATTTTTAACCGACTTCCAAAAAGGAGGAGGTTCCCAATTCGTCGGAATCTTTTTTTATGTATGTTCACCGATTACTCGAAGACGCCTGAAGCGATTTGGACATTTTTTTTGTTTCGAAGGGTTTATCGAAATCGGCTGAGCGGTTTTAAAAAAATCAACAATAAATATACTCGTATTTTTTAATAAATTGCTTAATCGAATATGTTATTAAAAACTTTCTTCTTACAAATTACCTGCTTATTACGTCTACACTAAAAATGGAATTATGAAAACTTAAAAAAACGACTTTCAGCCACTAAAATGTAATAAAAGCTTTTTAACAAAAAAATAAAAACCGACTTCAAAAAAAGCACTAAAAAGTAAAAAATAATTGATCGGTAGTTTTAATTTACTATACATACCTAATCAAATATTTTCGAAGTCGGTGTGCTTTGCTTTGTATCGACTTCATTGAAGTCATATTGAATTATCTAGTTTCACCGAATTTTAAATAAAACTTACAAAGTCAACCAACCCTAAGTAAAAAAATAATAATTAACAGGCCTATCTCATCAAACACCAATTTTGTTTTCGATTATTTTAATAAAGTCAACGTTATTAAATTACATTCGTCACCAGTCAGCCAGGACTACCCACTAATACCCAACGGAACTTCCCAACTGGAAGTGGAAGTGGAGTCAAAAATATAATTTATTTCAAAAGAATGAGAACTTTTTAAATAACTAAATGTAATTTATAAAGTTATATACAATAATTGGTATTTAATTTTATTTAAAAAATATTTTCGTTTTTCGTTAGTTAATTAAACGTTAAAAACTTTTTAACAAAAACATAAAAACCGACTTCAAATAAAAGCACTAAAAAGTAAAAAATAACTGATTGATAGTTTTCATTTATTATACATACCTAATCAAATATTTTCGAAGTCGGTGTGCTTTGGCTAAGTAATTAAAGCCTACCTTTTAAATACATACCTAATCAAATGTTTTCGAAATCGGTGCCAGCCCATACAAAAATTTAAAAAATTAAAAATTTTTTATTTTTCCCTTTTTAGTGTAGACAGTAGTAGCAAAGTAAGAATTCTAACGTGTTAGGCTTGTCAAATCAAACAAAATAAGCTCAAACTCAAAGTATCTACTAATAGCCGTTGAAGAGTTCCACCTATCCACCTTCTGGCCTTACAATCAGATCAGGTCAACAATACCGAACCACTGTACTATCAACGGAAATAGAAACACTTGCAAAGTTTCAAGTCAATATGACAATTATAAGTAGGTTAAATTCATCATTAGCTATTTTTCCACCCTTAGGGGTGGTATTTTTTTTTGGAATTTAAATGGGACCAATCTGGAAGTATACACTTTCAAACAACTTAAAAATTGTCCAAATCGCTTAGTAAATGACGGAGTTCTGAGGTAACAAACATAAAAAAATACAGTCGAATTGAGAACCTCCTCCTTTTTGAACTCGGTTGAAAACACACACCAAAATGGTGTTTTTTTCCCATTTCATTTACAAATTTTGCACATTACTTTATATACGTATATCATATACAATAGCTTATTTTAAAAACTCGTATGTTTTACATTTAACATATAGACGACATTATGTTAATTAGGCACTATAAACAGTGGCAGTCGACCAAAATGTATTCCTGCATATCAATGGGACCAAATACTTACCGCAAAGCAAATGTTCGTTGTGATCATTTGTGTAATAATCCCAATTTGTAGCTGTAAACATGTACATACATACATATATATATATATATATATATATATATATATATATATATATATATATATATATATATATATATATATATATATATATTACATACTAAAATGGATTAAACAATTTTCTGATACAATACAGCATTTCTAAGAAGAATTTACCAAGTATTTAAAATTTGTGGATAAAATTAAGGAGGACTAAAGAAATTAAGTCAAACGATAAAAAACATTTAAAATAAAATTGAGTTGCGGGAAATTTTAAAATTAAGTCAAAGCTATTTAAAAAAGATTATTGTCATAAAATGAAACATTTCGTCGTTTAACTTATTTTATTGTTAACGTTCAACATATGTTAATGATATTGTAATTTGAATGTTGAATCGGAAAAAGCAAATGCTATTGTGTTAAATTAAACGCTGTAGTAGCTTCTAGTCAACAATTTTTAGGTGTATATACAAAGACAAAAAATTTCATACATTTTAAAAGAGATATTTTGTGCTATGAATTTTTCTGACAGCTATAAATTATCGTAAAATGTTGGGGTTACAAAATGTGACTTATCTTTTATATTTGGGAGAGAAATCATTGTTTATACTTTACATAGGTGCATACGTACACCGTTACAACAAGGTTACATTTAAGCGAAATAAAAACAAAATGAGAGAACTGTTAATGTTGATGGCTCACTTCCAAACAAATTAAAAGTTTCAATGTTCAAAAGTGGTGAACGCTTATTTTACAGCTCAGTGATAATGACAGGTAGTTCCACTTCTAAGATTTAAAACTTTGAGTGACACTTGTTAAGTCGTTGAGTTCTCGTTCCTTGTGCAAGGTGCACATAATTACGAAATCCCAAACTTAGGAACGAGATGTGCAATATTCCGAATTTATATAACGTAGAACATGAAAACGAAATAAGGTAATCCTGCCGATGTTTGGCACCTATCCAATTATGTGCACGGCCTCGTTTCATGAATAAAAAAAGAATTTGAGCGTGAAATGATAAAATTTTATATTTAAAAATATATGTACTTTGATGTTTTATATTGTGGTGGGTATAATAGCCATGGTGTCAAATAAAATAACGTATTTCGTAATGTATTGACACTGTACTGCATAGATCTAACTAATATATTTAAGCAAGTAATTATTATATATTTATTTATTTTTATACCGGCGATCTCGGAAACAGGTTTTCAGGGGCGAAAAATCGATCTAGATTAGTCTTATGTCAGGGGTAACTGCCTCGGTGGTGTAGTGGCTAGCATGTACGGCTGCACACCCGGAGGTCCTGGGTTCGAGTCCCAGGTCGGGCCAAGTTTAGTTATTGAGTCTTTCTGTATAGTAAGTCTCAGTAACAGCCCGGAGTTGGGAAGTTGGCGGTGTTTCACTCTCGTGCCTCGGAGAGCACGTAAAGCCGTCGGTCCTGCGCCTTAGCTCTCACCGGTCGTGTCGAGTGGTCGTCCCACCGCAGTATGAGAGTGATAGGAATAGAGAGTGCACCTGTGTCTGCGCGTACACTTGAGCACTGTAATATCTCCTGCGCAGTTGGCTAGTCTCAATGAGATTGGCCGCCGTAGCCGGAATCGGCTAGGAGAACATCATCATGTCAGCGAAAACGCGCGTTTTCAAGTTTTTAAGCGGTTTTCTTTCGCAATATTCCACGCAAAATATGGTCGCTAATTTCGCACGCTCGGGCATAAGCATCGTGGTTAAGCGGCCAAGGCGCAAAATTGACAATCACAGGTGTCCGGGTTCGAATCCTTGAGGATACAAAGTTTTTACTTTTGTTTTTTTTGTATTTATTCAAGTTTTGAGGTTTTTTTTATTTAAAAAATACGATATAACAAAAAAGAACTCCGAGCGAAGCTTGGTCGCCCGGATAGTGTTAGTTAATACAAGCATATGCCTGGTTACACAAACTGAACTTAAGATATTCGATACAGAAGCTGGTGTTAATCATATTACCACTTTGTCAGGTGGTCATAAAAAGAATAAGATGCTTTTTAGTAACTACTGTGCCACAATTCTTTGTAAATTCCATCACTTTATCCACATACTATACAAAAGTACAAATCGATTTCTTTGTTTTATTTCGTGTCGACCTTCAGCTTATTTACGTCCATCTAGACAACACCCTAAGCCAACAGAAACATGAAAAACATCTTACAGGTGTAATTGAGGATATTAAAAAGGGTTCAGGGATTGTGTCGAAAGTAACAGATGGTCACCGAAATATTACAGTTGTTCTAGAGTTAGTCTTTCACGTGCAAAATAAAGTAAACGTTATTTTTTATGTCATATGTAGTTGTACCGAAGCTTGATTTATTATGGTCTAACGAGTAATAAGATTTTGTTTACTGTTTAGTTTGTAATATTTCATGATGTAATAACATGAAGTTAATACTATCTACAATTTTAAATAATATTGATCAGTGATCACATATTGTTACTCCTCATAATATTATTATAAAGAAATATTACTTCCTAATAAGCTTCTGTATTATTTTCATTTCTTTTATGTTTTTTCATTTATATATTATCTACTTATTTCAAATAGGCACCAAAATTTTACCAAAAATCGGGTGACGCTGTGTCTGTGCTTACCGCTGTTGGTTTATTTTTTTGAAAATCAAAACAATAACTTACCTAACTTAACATCCAATACACGATTTTTTTACACTGTCGCAACACGGCAGAGTTTAAAATTTTTATTCTTTTACTTACAAAGATAAAAATACAACACTGATG